TGAGGCAGAAGATTATAAAGTTGATTTAGATTGCACATGACCAAATAAAAAGTTCTTAACAGATTTTATTTGCAGATATATGACACATGGAATCCTACATTACTGTAGTTAAAATATGTCTAGACATCACTAAAAAAGTCAGAATTCTTAATAAAAGCAAAATCTTTAAATACTTTTAGAAATATCAAAACGTAAGGTGAAGTAGACAATTCTACCTTCAAGGACCTTTTTAAAGTGCTAAAGATTCAGTTTAAATATCAATGTGCATCAGATGTAAACGTTGGTATTTTCATTGCCTCTTCTTCATGTGGAAGTTGGGCAATCAAAAAGAAGATGAAGTGTTATTGTCTTTGAGTTATGATGTTGGTGAAGAGTATCAAGTATAGCCTGAGCTTCCAGAAGACCAAACTCTGTCATGTAAAAGTCCAATCAGAGTTCTCCTCAGGGGCAAGGATGGCCATCTTTGTCTCACATATTTTGAAGAGGGGCCAGTATTTAGAAAGAGACATTATCCTTGAAAAAATAGGCAGTCCGTGAAAGAATGGAAGACCCTCAACAATATTTATTGGCAAAATAACTACTACAATGGGTTTGGTCCAGGATTGCAGCCTTCAATGTGCATTGATTGCATCTCAGCATCAAGAAGTAAAGGTCACCACCACTGAGCTAATAGGAAATACCATGCTAGATGGAGAAAGGAAAGAGGTTGTTGATGATTTTGTCTTGCTTGGATCCACTATCAATACTCTTGGTAGTAGCAGTCAGAGCATCAAAGACAAGTTTCATTGGGAAAATCTGCTGTCAACGATCTCTCCAGAGTGTTAAAGAATAGTGATGGAAGTCCAGTGTTGAAAATGTGACTGACTTGGGCCTAGGCCTTCTCAATTGCTTGCTATGCATCTGAGAGATGAACAAAGGATAAGGATGATAGGATTGATGCCTTTGAGTGTGGTGCTCAAGAAGAGTATTGAAATACCATGGATTGTCAAGAAACAAATAGGTCTATCCTGGAGGAGGTGAAACTGGTTTGCTCATTTGAAGCAAGGATTTTGAAGTTACTTCTCATGTATTTTGAGCATGTTGCCAGGAGAGATCAGTTTTTGGAGAAGGACATCATGATTGAAAAGGTAGAGGATTACTGCAGAAAAGGAAGACCCTAGGTGAGATGGACTGATACTGTGACTATGACAATGGGATCAGGTGTGTCAGAGATGGTGAGATTGGCTGAGCATAGGTCAAGTTTCAGCACCATTGTTTATAAGTTTGCTGTGGATTGTGGTCAACTCAGTGGCACATAACAACAATAGGCTAAGATCAGGTTTGGATCTGTGGTGCAGAGGGTTGCTGTGAATTGGGTTTGACTTGATAGAAGTTAACAATAATAATTATGTATAATCTCTAAACTGATTCTAAGACTAGTATCAGAAGCAGGATAGGAATCCTAAGCTGATTCCTGAATCTTAGTTGTTTACAGTAAAACTTTTAATTATTTTAATCTAGAAATGAGAAAATGTCAATGAGAAATTTGCAGCATTTTATTTATGAATAAAAATTTATATTATAAAGTTTATGGAAAGAATGTATATGTATTGAAAAGAAAGGACCAGGAGATCCCTAGTAGTGTACTCACACATAACACGCAC